TTTGAGTATTGATTTTCTATGATTAGCGAGTTTAATACATTTCTATGGATTCTCCATCGTTTATGTTCAAAAGCATCTACATCATCATTCAAAACGATGTGTCGAGTTTCTTTTTCTTACTATAGAATATAGGAAATAAAATACTTTTGAAAGATAATTTCTCTTAAGATTTTTCTGTTAGATAATTATTTTTTGGCCTTGAAGCTTGCGTAAAAGGATCCTTAATAACACTCTCTGTATTTCAAATTTATTATGCTTATTTTATATATGTTAAGTTATTGTTTTACCACGGCCACTAACTAGATGTAATTGCAATTGCTCTCTGCCAGAGGAAAGCGATCATATTTCGTTTGATCTGGATTGTGATTATAGGTCCATCAAACTCGAATTATTTCCCTAAATTATTGTAAACTGAACTGCAAACTTGTAATTTAACTCTTCGTTTTTGTTCTAAATGATTGTCCATTAATATCTGTTGATATATACATTTAAAGAAATGAGACTGTGTACCACAAAAATGTTTGGTTTTACTTCATATTTAGTACACACGTTAAGTTAAGTGAAATATAACGCTGTTTTACAGAGGTACAGTTTTCTGAATATAATATCATGAAACATCTTTAATATTAGTAGATAGCATTTGAAATACTATAACTAGAAAAATTGTCTGATTGGGAAATCCAAAGCCAATTTTAGGTTTTACATTACTATGACAAACTTATCTTCATCTCTGACCATTTTCAACCTTTATAAAACATCTGATCCAATATATTAAAAAAATCACCACGCCATCATTTTTCATATAATAATTTGAATTTCAAATTTGGTTATGTGATTGTGGTTTTCCAAAGTACATTTGGCGAACAGGTAACTTAGTTGTTAAAAGTACAATAACAGGATGTTCGGAGAACTTCTATGCAGGATGCCAATGAGTCTGACTAGACCAAAAAAAAGCAAATGTTTACAGGACTGTTTTGTATTTAAAAAATTACTGATTTGTAGAAAAGAAAATGGAACTTGTTGGTTTACTCATGCCAAAGAAACACCAGGCCTGTGAATAATCAGCTTTTCTGGTTTCAAACAACAGCAAATAAGGTAATACTGAACCACTCCATTAAAGAATCGCCAAGGCTATGTTGCCCATGGTGAATTCTCGCCAAGAAGGACTACTTTCACTTAGAATCAGAGGCTTCGCCAGGCATTGGTACACGGCGCCCTTGCCCCGATTATATTTGATAGTGCTTCGAATCCCCAGTTGATGTCTTGAAGAATCAAAATAAAAAAACATTATGGTTATCATACTGAAACGTCGAAAATTCCCGCGCCTATGGGCCCGAGCCCCGAATTTCTTAAGTACTCAGCAAAGCTTCTGCTTGGAATTATATCAAAGTTCAACTGTTCAGCCTCTGCCAGCACTTTTCCGATTGCCATATCACCCACGTCAGGAACTAACCTCATTAGCTAAGAAAAGGAATTGAGGATTTCTAGCACCTATCCCTGCTTATGCCCAACATGCCAAACGCCGTTAAAAGTAATCAAAGCTGGACTTATGTGGAGTAAGGGCCACAAACAAACAGACACTGCAACAATCCTGACCACTAGCGACTGCTTAATTTAGCATATTGCACAAATGGCTACATCCTGTTTGTACTAAAAGTTTAGAAACTTACACGAAGAAAAATATTTTCATTTTTGTTATAAAAGGGCTACATTCACGATATTTGCATATCAAAAAAAATATCTAAACATTGGATTATAAAAGGATTTTAAATGATACTTTTAAAAGAATTTGTACCGTTATCTCCTAAAATGTTTGCCCAGTTTTATGATATAAAGAAAATATACACCCATAAATTCAATCTACATAATTTTCTTTTGAGGTGTGGGTCCCTTTTACGGGAAAGCGAGATCGTCTAAAAAAAACTGATCCTGTAAGGCTTTATATTGCAATTTCTTTATTTTCAATGCACGGTTATTCCACGCATCTCTTAGCGGCACCCTGTGTCAATGTTTTAAAGAAAAATGAATTTTTAAATTTGTCCTACAATCCTAACATGTGTTTTATATTCTACGAAAGCAGTTTACTTACCAGTTTGCATATAGAACTCTTCAACAAGACAAAATTTACAACATTTATAAAAAGCTCTAAATCGCGCAGTATATGTTAATACACGTTGAGAATGCAATTTTATTACACGGCACAATGTCCTGTTTCTTTAACTCGTATGTAAAGTTAGTTTTGAAAAAAACACAGTTATTCTAGGTTATAAGTTTCTCTAATGTATAAAAAACTGATAAAACTCTAAAATAAGGATTATCGATTTTTGTTGTTGTTTTGTAAAGATTTTTGAAGTTGGAAAAATTGAAGTACTATGGAAAATTTTTAGAGCTAACAGCAGTAGGATTTAAATGCATACACAAAAATACTTATGTTATGATAAGGATATATATTTATATACGGTCACTTATAATTTCAGACGATGATGTTGATTACTACTGTACACACACACATATATATATGTATATATACGTACATTTGCTTATTCTTATGGGGTAAGTACAATATGAAAGAGACCTTAAAATATAAATCCATTACAGATCATATTCGATTCACATAGAAGTCTTCTCGTCGCTAGTTCACCAGGCATGTTACATGCTACTGTCGTTTCGCTAAGCTAAATTAATAAAGGAATAAGAGTCAAAGTCTACACTTGTTACCACCATATGTTTGGTGCACGAAGGTTTGATGAAACACAGGAGCAAGCTTCGTGTATATATAAATATATCGTTTTTACTTGAGTTTATCTACAGGCTGCGATAAGTTTAGCATGATAAAGGTACTTGTAATCGAAAGTCATACCTAAGGCGAGTGATATATTAAACATTGTCATTACAAGTGTATTAGAATGAACGCGTCTGAGTTTCCTTGTATTCGCTTACATGTACATATATGTTATTCCAGGATACCGGACGGAACTGTAACCATGCCAACAATGACTTTGCTCTATGCGTACACTTATGAAGAAATGTACATATGATAGTTGACTCTGACAACGTAATAACACTCGTCTAGTGGCTACTTCACACAAACTTACTATCGTGCTAGATTTCTCAGCCATGCTCCCAACATAGGTGTAAAACCTTCTCCAAATAATGATAAATAGGTGTGCTGATCTGAGACAAAATGCCCTTTGGTTATGTATTTTTTTTTCAGAGCATTTAAGCGAATATGTCGTGACCTTACTCGCAAAAACAGTTCGACCACGAATTACAATTTTTTTCTTCATTTTGAAGTCTCTCTTGATTCATGTAGGGTAACATTTAAAATATGTATAGAGTAACAAAAAATAAATTTTATTTTGGATTATATTAAACAGTTTGGTTTTAAAGTAGCAATTAAAGTCATTGAAATAATCCGTGGAATCTCTTGTTAAGAGAAATGCTTTCACACATCACGTTTAATACAACCAATAAAGAAACTAAATATCTGATAATATAGCATGGCTATGTGTATTACACATTTTGTCTAATACTTTGGTTCTAATCAGTTGCTCAAGTTCGTATTAGGCAGTGATCTGACCAGTCACTTCAAACTGAGTAAAAACTAATTTTGCTGCAAGAGTAGATATTTTATTGATTATCGTGAAGAGGGAGTGGAATCGAACCTCTTTAACAATGATTAATTATAATTGTTCAACCCCAGCGCTTTATAAGTATCGTTAATGATGGTAACATTCGTGTATTATAAGTGATGATTTCTCGCACATGTTCCTCAAGTTAAATGTACAATATATTTTAATGGTTGAGGTTATTCTCCTCAAGTTAAGGTGAAGGTGTTTAAGAAGAAATCAAGATTTAACTTTCTTTGATTGAGACCATAGATTTTTATTTAAAGATTTAAAAAAACACGTGAACCGGGAACACATCTCTTTAAAACATTTGATGATCTAAACTTTGATTAGAGGACCTTGATAGAGTTCGTTGAGGTATGACATCAAGCAATAAATATATGTATATATAAATTCCGTCGTTTAAAGTGTCTCTGAGTCAATATATTCGGAGAAGAAAAGTATAATGATTCAACTACATTGAAGCATATTCGCAGAGAAAATTAGTGTGTTTTAATCTACAGTGAAGCATACTCGCAGATAAAATTGGTGTTTTAATCTACAGTGAAGCATACACAGATAAAATTAGTGTGTTTTAATCTACAGTGAAGCATACTCGCAGATAAAATTAGTGTGTTTTAATCTACAGTGAAGCATACTCGCAGATAAAATTGGTGTTTTAATCTACAGTGAGGCATACACAGATAAAATTAGAGTGTTTTAATCTACAGTGAAGCATACTTGCAGAGAAAATTGGTGTTTTAATCTACAGTGAAGCATACTTGCAGAGAAAATTAGTGTTTTAATCTACAGTGAAGCATACACAGATAAAATTACAGTGTTTTAATCTACAGTGAAGCATACTTGCAGAGAAAATTAGAGTGTTTTACTAATTGCAACCAAAAGTAACGATTATCCTGTTAAACATTCAATAGTTACTTTAACTTAGTTTTAGCTTTTTTAATTTGTTGAAATACTAATCTTACATGCTTTCAAAATTAAAAAAATGGCTAGTATTCTAAACTCGTGCTTCAAGCACGTTAAATTTTGATACTCTCCTCAGAGAACTAAAAGATATCTTGTTTTCCTTACGTCGTAGTGTTTATAATCGATTTTGTCCAAGACGCAGGAAACTTACTGAAATCTCTAAATCCCACTAGAACTCGTTGTTATAAATATTTCCCCATTACTTTAATGTAGAATACCGGTTACTGTCTACATAAAGCATCTCTAACATACAGTTATATCCCTCAAGCAGTATATTACGAGTTACAGGTGGTTCCGGCACTGGTGGATTATTCCGGTTATACACCGGTGACGCCGTCTGATCACTGAGGAGAGTAAGTGTTTATCTCAACTCCTGCATGAACTTGTGTTATGATTAGAGCAACTTTCGATTTATTTTACGGTTAATGATATTTACCAATGAATACGTGGGATTTTAGCCTAACAAGAAAGTGTTTAGTCTTTAACCATATTTACTAGTATCTCTTAGATATCGGGTTTATAGATGGCGTCAGGATGTACACAGGTTCAGGAAGAACTATTATCGAAAATTCCTCACGAACCCCAAGACTGAAAAGCTCCTCCTGATGATCGCGAATCTCAACCTGTTGCTGCCAGTGGAGACAGAGAACAGCGCATGTCTGTTTGCTGAAAGGAAGCTTGAAAGCGCTAACATTTCCTGATTTTTCCCCAACAGTAACCTCGTCGCTTCCTATAGAGGCGTTTTGTCTCTTTCTCCTGTTCAGTATTTTTTCGATATACACACTGGTATCATACTTTTGCTTGTAATTGAAATCAACCCAATGGCAATTTGTAAGTAGCTATTCGAGTAATGATACTAAGTAAAGAATTTTCCGCCTACTAGTGCCCTTGAGTGGACGCTAATAAGAAGCGCGAGTACAAGTAGTTTATTTATCCGAGACGTTACAGAAAATAGGTAATTCATTTTATAGTTTCCTTTCCACAACATATCTATCAAACTAACCGACGCATAACCAGAAAACAAAGGAAATCAAAGATAAAGAAGAAAAATTCGTCAGTTCAGGTAAGATAAGCTTTTTGACTATTTTTATGATAATTATATGAAACCTCGAGGTAGCTTAAAACCAGGGGTTTTTCATTGGGTTTTGAAGAGGATTTTATATATTATCGAGTATCTTTAAGCAGAGGTTAATCTACAAATGAGTGGATCGATTTATTTGATATTCTACTGTTTAGTACTCTTACTGCTTATTTATTATTTGTGGGTGTTTCACATGTTTTATGCTATTTATTTAACCCCAATAAAATAGGTGTGGTCGAAAATAGCCGCTACCCATATGAATTTGAAATTTTAACACTCCAAACATTAAAACAGAGCTATAGGGGATTATAAGTACGCCAGAAACAATTTGGCTTGAAACTTTTATAAGTAATACTATAATGATACCACTCGAGGGTTTGTTTGTTTGTTATTAAGCACAAAGATGAACAATGGGTTATCTGTGCTTCACCCACCACGGGTATCGAAACCCAATTTTTAGCGTTATATGCCTCCAGACTTATTGCTGAGCCACTGGGGGGGGGGGGGGAGGCGAGGGTATATTTGACATCATTCACCGTTGCTTGTTTTTCTTATTAGTCGAGTCACAAAACGAATTTGCAGACTTAATATTTCGAAACTAAACGTTTAGCGATCAGAACAAAGATTGTTTTGGCGTATTTCTAACCACACGAACCTTTTTACTTCGATAAAGTAGTGTATTTAACTTGTTGATTTAGACAACTGTAATAAAAAAAAAGGGATTTTGAACCATGATTATATATATGTGTAATAATATTCCATCAAACGGGTCATATGACTCGTTTTATCTTCTTCATGGCCAAAAATCACAATAATTTTAATTTGTATTCTCTGCGGGCGGTGAATATTCCAATTCATATATTTTCCTATTTCTTTATGAACTTAACTGAACTCACACTCGTGTTGCTAGAAAGCTTTTATAATATAAAGTTATAATTTTCGTTAATGGACTTGGAAGTTATTTTTAAAACATCTTTCTCCCTCTATCTCTAAAAAACAACAACACAAAAACATACATATTTTTATACATACAATCTCGTGCAGATATTAGTCTTTTCTGAATACGCATATAATTTTTAGAAGTAGACATATAACATCGTTTATATCGTATTATGCAAATATCTAACAAATTCTAGCTATATCTTCCCGACTTCCAAAATCTGTATATACTTACTGTTACTGGTTGGAAGAATTTAAACATCAAGCTTACTGCACGTGGCTTGTTAATTACGCAACGTGTCTAATTAGGGACGAACAGACTTTTTAGTTAAATCTAAGCTTCGTACATTGTTGTCATTAGCGCTTTTTATAGTCCCTTTGATTGTTATGCCATGCCAGATATTTTGTATGTAATGTCTTTAAAAGGAAAATATCACATGACACCTGTATAAGACGTTCTACACGTCGTTACGGGATTTCATTCTTTGGCTACTAAAGTAAAAATACACACACACACACATATATAACAACAACTTATAGGGTTGTTTGTCAATACACGCTTCAAGGGCTCAGACCATTTATTCTGTAGACGCAAGTGCAAACTGATGCTTGCAGTATTTTTTCTGGAGAATGTATAAGCACTTTTTCCAATAGTGTATTTATCTTGTTTGTTTTCAACAGAGGTATATCTTGCTGTTATAACGATTTTTATGTTCTTCTTCCTAACAGTAACTTAGCTATTATATATGACAAACAAAAAAGATAAGCAAAGAAATTAGGAGAAAAAATGCATATTATAGATTTGTAAAGCTAAATATAGAATGATGGACATTTAAAGTTTAAACATTAATCAGGTTATACTTTCATCTCACAAATTATTTATTCGGCTTGTAAAATGTCATGTGGTAACCTTACACGACGAGAATACAGATGAACGTCTTAATATTACATACGATATGAAAGCAGCTTAGATGTGCGTGTCCAAAATGACGAAAGCGGAAGGTGTGTTGTTGTATGCGCAATATTTGACAAAGGCAAACATCTAAAAGTTGAGTTCCAAAGACACTATTACAAAAGAGACCCCCACCAATCAAGTAATTGTGTTGTATTTTCGTCAAAACATGCGGGTTATCTAGATTATGAGATGTATATGTGAGTGAATGACGTTTTAAAAGTGCCCGATCAGTAGAAAGAACCAGTTGGTAAAATAATTTTTTGGTTAATACAGTAACGTGGCTACATTAGCTAAAACATCAGACTAGATCAGTGGAAACAACCAGTTGGTAAAATAATTATTTGGTTAATACAGTAACGTGGTTACATTAGCTAAAACACCAGACTAGATCAGTGGAAACAACCAGTTGGTAAAATAATTTATGGTTAATACAGTAACGTGGTTACATTAGCTAAAACATCAGACTAGATCGGTGGAAACAACCGGTTGGTAAACTACAAATAATCCCTCCAATGGCTCAGCTGTAAGCTTATAACGCTAAAAATCTGTTTTCGATATCCGTGGTGGACACAGCACAGACAGCCCATTGTGTAGCTTTGTGCTTAACAAGAAACAAACAAAAAATACAAATAATATGACATATTTTAATCCAAATGCTGTATTATCGGATTTTAAAGTCTGATATTTTAGCTAATGTAACAACGTTACTGTATTAACCAAAAATTATTTTACCAACTGGTTGTTTCCACTGATCTAGTCTGATGTTTTAGCTAAGTGTAACCACGTTACTGTATTAACTATAAATTATTTT